CCTCATAATTTTCAAGAAACATGTAATATGCTTTATATAATACTAGCCGTCTACCCGCGCAAAGCGGCGGACGACGAATAGTTTGATCTCTTTAGAGTTAAAACCATTTTGCGTTCACTTCGAGAAATGAATATTAAATGACATCTATTTTTCAAGAGCATTACCATACCATATTAAGGGGGTGTTTGGCTAAGTTTTTTTTTTTAAATCAACTTATTAGGTTCCACATCACTATAAGTTAAAAAAATTGTTTGGATTAAAATAACTTATTCCGGTGGGGAACCTCTAATACGTCATTTTTTCATAAGTTACCCTACACTTACTTATTAACTTATAAGCTAATAAACTAATAAGCAATAAACTTTTTTGCCAAACACCCCTAAATGGTTATTACTTCCATTTATACATACCCAAACCACTTGTACTGTTTATTGTCCTCTTTTTTTTCGTTTTCCTTAATTCCTTTATTAATTTAATGTCCTACTAAGTAAAATGCTAAAATATATAAATAATAGTTTATAAAAATAAACCTTTAGAATATCAGGTGTTGTGATTCAAAAGTCGATAAATAGGCCTTTGAAAAGGCCAAAATACTCAGGTGTCAACTTGTTCATTGTGATTTTAAACCAAGTTTGGTCACAAATTAAAACATTTTCAATGATGGTATGTAATTCAAGGATTAATCATATTGATTTAGGTTCTCGAAACCTTAAAATATTGAACAAAATCTATATATAACCTTATAATAAGGACAATAATCACCGTAATCAGGCAGTCCATGTGATGTAACTTGATATTATAAGGACCAATGGTGAAAAAGGTTTCATTTTTAGACTAAACAAGATGAAAATTATACAAACTACCTTAATCATGTCAAATCTTGTGTTTAATCGTTCTTTATTGCAAAAGTAAGATGCCAAAATATACAAACTAATGATAATACAATGCTCTAACTGGCCCTCTTGGTTGAGTTCTTTGAACCTGCAAAGCCAACACATTAAATAAACATAGTAAAAGCCTTTTTAGGAACAAACCTGATATAATAAAGCCTTCACCCAATATATTTATAAAATAAAAATACAAAAAGTTAAAAATGATGAAATCAATTACAAGTAATGATTAAAATAAAAACCTGTTAAGATAAGGCCTTTGCCCTATCCAGTCTCAAAATCATTTTCTTGATCCATTTTTTATGCATATTGATATCGTTATTGATAAAGCCTCTTTTACAAAATGGTTTGTCCGAACCTAAAGAATATGTAGATCAAGATACACATGAATTTCTAGCAACCTTACATGGTTAGCCCCAACCCTTTTAGAAGTTCTAATCAAATTTCCAATCCATTCATCTTCAATGACCAACACTATGGTTTATACGACCTTCTTTTCAAGTTTCTAGACATCCTAGGGCAGCTTCAGCAAGAAGCCTTCTGCATACATAATAATAAAATTAACAATGAAGACCTAATATCATTAATCATAAAAGAAGATCAAATATAAAGTAATAAAAACCCCAATTCTTGGATTGAAGCGACAAAAACAAAAAAAAATGGGATTTACCAGTTTCACTTGTCTGAAAGTTAATTATCAAGGGAAGAAGAGCCGTATAGACTTTCTGGTGGGCTAATGGTCAATTTTCAATGAGTTGAGGCAGGTGAGGAAGTGAGGAAATAGAAAGCAAGGTATTCTCAGATTGATGGAGAAGATTAGGGTATGTGGATTGAGAGTAAGGTTTTCTACCATTCCCAAAACCATCACATCCATAAGAAGATCCAAAAAAAATCAAGTTTTTTGAAATCAAAGCATGTCTAGGTCAAAAATGTCACCTGAAAGTGGAGCAATGAAAACACTTTGTTGACATATCTGCAACAACAGAAATCCGAGCTTTCTGTTACCAAAAAATCACATACAAATTGATCATATGTCTAAATAAGGGGAGAGGTAAACAAAATCTTGAAGCTCTATCATTTGATGTGTAGCAAATAGCAACTCCAAATAAGATTTGGGTGTTTTGATTTGCGATTCCAACTCAAGATACAGACAAATAAGAAGTAATAAGAAGGAGTCGTCTGATGCGGTGGTGTCTGATGGATTTGACAGCGATGATGGTTGATCTTGTGAATACAATGGTGGCTGATGTTATTGGTGAAGACATGTGAGAATATAGGGGTGCAAGATAACCTGAACGATTCGAGATCATCATTGTGTTTAGAGAGAGAAAAAAGGATTCAAGAAGAGGATTCTTGCCTAACTATGATAGAATTTCAGATCTTCAACATCAAAAATATAACATGCTATACTTTGCAAAATGTTGCAAAACCTCCATTAACAATAGATTCACGGTAGGCTTTATAAAGCCTACCGTGAATCTATTGAAGGATATTTGAATCAACATGTATTTTCTGATGGTTTCAAATTTTGAATTATCCGAAATTCAGGGAAGAAGATAGAATTTGTTGAGAAATATAAGGATTTAAAACACAAGTTAAAATTTAATATTATTTTATTGATAACTACTTGTACTATTAGCTTAATGATTTGAACATCTTAAAAAAATATTATTATTATATTGATTGTATTTTTAGAAATAGTAAGATTTCTTTTATATATATATATATATATATATATATATATATATATATATATATATATATATATATATATATATATATATATATATATATATATATATATAAATTAAAAAGTACCTTTTTATAATTTGATGGTTAATAAAACTAGAATCCCATGAGAGCTGCAAATGATTGAATCATGTGAAATATTTTGTAAAACAAATCAAGAACAAGTTATATCACTGTCACATTAAATTTATAGAAAAATTATATTATTAAGATATTGAGCATCAAGATCTACGAAACCAGATCTGAAAATCATCAGATAAACAAATTGTCTAGTTTAATCAATGTTAATGTAAACAACGATGATTGCCTTTGAGTCAATTTGACCTAAAAATATGTAATTATAAATTTAACATTTAAATATTTACTGTATAGATTTATAATTATATAAAAGGCTTACTTACCAAACAAATAAAATAATAAGACCAGGTAAAAAACCATTTAATCCTATCCCTATGACGGTCTCTTTCTATCATCATCAAACTTGATAGTTGATACAATATCCATTTTCATCAGAACCCTACTTACGGATCCTATGTTCTTCATCGGCGCTATTTGGATTGTTATTCCTGTTTTTGTAATAAATTTTCATGTCTTAAACTCTAACTTTTTTTTTTTACCGGCAAATGAAATATATATTAATAAAAATAAAAAATAAAAACCTCAGCAAGGTGCTCGGAGCTGAGTACAAAATAAACAGCACAGAAAATAGGAAAAGAATTACAATCCGATAAAATGATTTGAATACTAGTCTGTCCAACTAATCTTCTCTGATTTTTCCTTGTATTTCACCGAGTTTTTAACCAAAAGAGTGTGTTTGAAAAAAATATTTACCGAAAGGATATAGTTTTGAAAATATTTACTAAAATAGTTGATTTTGTAATTTAAACACATACGATACCCTAACTCTATGAGAACCCATCAGGCCTCACCGGATATCCAAACTCCAGTCGCAGGTTTATCTCGGCATACCGCATACCTCCACTTCTCCGGCCGTAGCAGACGCCGGCGACACTATCTCCTGCCATAGCAGAAGCCATCGACTCCATTTTCGGCCACAACTTTATTTTTGATTTTTGACGCAAGATCAATTTCTGCCGAGGTTTGATTCTTGAACTGTTATTTTCGAATTTAAATGGTTCTTGAAGATGCCACGGTTCCAACACTGTTTTTGGTGGCAAAATTTTGAACTGTTCTTAAAGATTCCACGGTTCTTGAACTTTTAAGGTTCAATTTCTCATTACGGCAAAAGAAGTATCAATATAGTTTTCATTTGCTTTTATTATTATTTCAATTTTAATGGCAGTTAAAAGATTTCACACTTGAATAGCATCAAATGATTTAGAGCACTTTTGTATCACTGATCTTTATCAAATATTGCTTAAACTATGAATTGCACACATTACTATTACAGTTTATTGCAGATATGACATCTTTTTTTATTTATGCTACATTTACACCATTCATTTAGAGCCTTGTTTTTTGTTGCTCCATTAGTACAAAAGAAGTATATGCATTTTGCTATTTTACGTTGATCATGCAATTTCATTGTAGCGAGTATTCCGTTTCTTATTATATGAAGGCAGGTTAGTTGTATAATAGATCAAATGGGTGGGTTAGTTAATGGGTCAATTGGCTAAAATTTTTGGAGTGATCCAAACGGGTTGGATTGATCTGCCAATCGAGATGGGTGATTGAAATAACAAGCTACTATATTTGGTTTTTTTTCTCTCTTGATGCTAATGCTCATATGAGTTTCATTTGGTGTTGGGAAATTCACTTAGTGCTGTCATAATTGTTCTCAATTGTTGTTTGTAAAACGTTGTACCTACGATATTGGTTGTTGGTTTTGCACCTAAAATATTGTTGGTTTTATACATGAACATTGTACCTATGATATTGGTTGTTTGTTTGGTTCCTACGATAATTGTTTTAATTTAAGGCTAGCATGATAATTAAAGTGAATCATATAAACAATCATGAACATTTATGTAGATTTAAAATTTTAATGGTTATAATGAAATGAGACATTATAAACAAACGGTGTTTGTATCATAAACATTAATATTAAGTCGTTTGAAAAAAGTCAAAATAAATATATTAGAAAAACAAAAAAAATAATGAAAAAAATACAAAATTCTAAAAATACACCTATTTGGTAAATATTTTTAAAACTACACCTATTTGGTAAATAAATTCTTTAAAAACACCTATTTGGTAAAAAAAACTCGTAGTATTTCACCCAAGTAAATATTGTAGATATAATAATATCCACCACTATGGTAGGTTGTATCCTTTTGTTACTGAACAAATTCTCATTTCGTGATTTCTAGATACTCCATATAGCCTCGTAGCAAATACTCGTCAACCTATTTTTTTCGGGTTGTTTCCTATGTTTGATGCGAAATCGACTACATTAAGAACCGATGAGAGGTTTGTGTGTTGAATATTGCACCATTTTAGTATCCACTCCATTACTGATTTTGCAAAAGAACATTGTATCAGTACATGGTCCGTTGTTTCCTCCTCTTCCCCACATTGACAGCAAATTGTTGATTGCACATTTACTCTGCGTTTGGATAGGTTGACTGATGTTGGAATACGATTCTGCTTTGCCTGCCAAATGAATGTGTTGACCTTGATCGGAATCTCTTTCACCCATTCGAATCTTCCGTTGTCAACCAAGTAATAGCCGTCGAGTTTCATTCTTAAAGCTTTGACCACGTAATCCCCGTTACTAGTGAGAGGGCAGAACCACCCCGCATCATTAGTTGATGATTGTTTATCCAATATCCACTCAGTTGTGAATCCATGTTTTTCCAGTTCTTTTTGTGAGCATGCAATGTTGTTCCACACACCTGCAAGAGTTTTTAGTGAGAAAACATGGTTTGGTTTACCCGCGAGGTTGTGTATGCAAGAAATGGCTTTTGCCCATATAGACTCCGGCTCCAGTCTGAATCTCCTCCACCACTTAACGATTAGTGCTATGTTAAAAGATTTTATCGAACCAACTCCGAGCCCGCCTACCGACTTGCTCGCGATAATCTTGTCCCAAGATAACCGGTGTATCTTGTGATTTTCTCCTGATCCACCCCACAGACACTATCGCCTAAGCTTTTCAAGTTTTTCTAAAACGCCAGCTGGTGCCACAAAGAGAGACATGAAGTACGTTGGAAGGTTTCTTAGGACCGACTTTATTAGAGTGAGTCTTCCACCGAAGGATAACGTCTTTGCTTTCCATTGGGTGAGCTTTTTTTGGAACTTATCAATCACCGGTTCCTAATGTTTTCTTAGGCGCATATTAGCTACCACGGGAACCCCAAGGTAATTAAACGGAAGGTTTGCTGGTTCACACCCTAGAGGTCGAGCCCAACGGGTTACTTCATATGGATTCGATCCTATGCCGAATACCCTTGATTTGTTGAAATTGACTTTTAATCCTGAGGATGCACGAAAGCACCTTAGGATTTGGTCGAGGTTCTTTGTGTTGTGTTCTGTCCAATCACCGATGAATAAGGCGTCATCAGCGTAGAGAAAATGGGAGATGATTGGACCCCCGTTTGGCAATTGTAGGCCTTGGAACACCCTGTTAAAGCATGCCTCTTTCATCGCGGCACTTAATCCTTCCATTGATGTGATAAAAAGAAATGGGGATGACGGATCTCCTTGAAGAATGACTCTTGAGGGAGTGAATTCGTCCGTCAGGGTCCCGTTGATCAAAACTGAAGCTTTTGATGATGTTAAGCAACCTTTGTCTTCGACATTTTTTGCCAAATCCCATTTGAATCATGTTATCGTCTAAATCTCCCCAATTAATGGTATCAAATGCTTTGTCGAAATCTACTTTAAGTAGTAGAATTTTCTTCTTCACCTTTTTTGACCAGGTACAAATTCCGTTAACAAGGAGGGGGCCGTCTAAGATGTTTCGTCCCTATAACTCCCAGAAAGCAACATATCGAAACCCTATCCGTTCTTAGTGTGTTTTTGAGCCTTGTGGTGCTACTTTGTGTGTTTGAAGCTTGGAAAGAAGAAGGATACTTGTGAGAGAAAGGGCAAACAAGGAGATTCAGAGTTTTGTGCACATTTCCAACTTGTTAGAGGTATGAAGCTGAACCTTTGTTTAACATCCGGATTTTCAGGTTAAAATTTTCATTAATTATTTTTGTATAAAGGAGAGGGACTCGACGAGTTAGCGCTTAGACTCATTGAGTAGGATTGCGATTCACTGACTGGATTAATGAATGAACTCGACGAGTCGGCAAGGTGACTCGACGAGTCTGTGCTGACGATAGAAACCCTAAATCCGCAGGCCTGAGCCCTATTTAAAAGACCTTATAGCCCTCATTTGCGGCTACCAGTCCAGAGAGAGAAACCCTAGAGAGCTTGAACGAGTTGTGAGAGAGATTGAGTTATTTTGATCATTTTTGGTGTGGTTTAGCAAAGGAAGAGGTGTTTCCAGCTAGAGGAAGTCAAGAGGGTTGCTATTTCGTGGATTTTCAGCTTGGATCTTCACTTTTGAGGTAGCAAATCGATCTATTCTTCTGTTTTGCATAAGAACCTTGAATCTAGGGTTTTCTATACCCTTTTATTGGCTTGTTTTGATTATTATAATGTCCCTTTGAGTGTTAGACTCTGGATCTAGACCTTTAGAGGTCCAGAGAACCTTAGCCAACCTGCTTTATGTGGTTCCATGGAGGAAATGAACTTAGGTTGCCATTTTAGAAGTGATTTCACCAAAAGAAGCCTTGGGTGCGTTGCATGTGTGTCAAGATTTGACCTTTACATGGTTATTGGTCAATGGGAAGTCAGATTTATAAGTTAGAGAAGCAGATCTGACCTCAGAAGGTCATTTGAGTGTTACCATGGGAGCAACTCGCCGAGTTCACAAGTGGACTCGACGAGTCGAGTCGGGGTTGCCCCGCGATTCGTGACAGGTGTAAGCCGTTGAGTAAAGGGATGACTCGACGTGTCAAGTGAGACTTAGAAGGATTTAGAGGGCCCGCGTGGACTCGCCAAGTCGCCTAGGTGCACTCGAGTCGGGTCATAGTTTGATCATTGACTTCCTTTGACTTTTAGGGTTGAGTTAGTGTTTGGTCTTTTGAGCCATTGGAGGGGTAGAATGGTCTTTTACCCTTCTTAGAGAACTTAGAGAGGGCTTAGCCTAGCCGTTGAAAGTCGTATTGATTAGAGTAATTATTTTATGTGATTAGGCGGAGGCTAGATCAGTATTTCTGAGTTCGAGGTTTACCGAGTTATCCGAGGTGAGTCTTCTCACTATACTTAACCTAGAGTGGTAATTAGAGTTATGTGACAGAGTATATTGTATGCTATTTATGTGATGTGATGCACTGCATTATTTCTATGTGATTTATTGTAACACCCAAAATCAGAAAGGCCAAGAAAGGAAAGGAAAATTCTAAGTCAAAGGAGTCAACTCATCGAGTCCAGGGAGGAACTCGACGAGTCGGAGCGGGATCCGGGTCATGGATTAAGTGACAGACTCGACGAGAGGACTCGACGAGTCTGGTCTGAAGAGAAAAACCCTAAATCCGAGACTTAGTGCCCTATTTAAACATCTCATTCTCTTCCCTAGGGTTCCTTTACAACCTCTCTCACCTAGAACACCAAACCCTAGCCACACTATCTGTTTTTTAGCAAGATCTATCCTTAGTGAAGTGATTTGAAGCTTGGAAGAGAAGGAGACTCATAGTGGTGCAAGAGGGAGCCTTGGATCCAGAGTTGGTGTGATTGTTCAGATCATTTGAAGGTATGAAGCTCATACCTTGGCTGTTATTCATTTAGATCCCCTTTCCTAGTTAGATTTTATCATTTTTGGGCCATTTCCAAGGCCAATTCGGGTATTGTGCCTTTGTGAGCAAAAAGGACTTCAGATTTAGGATTGTCTTGGCCTAGAAACCCATAAAGTATCAGTCCTTGGTGTGTTGGTGAAGCATGTTTTTCTCAAACCCTAGCCTTGAGTGTGTTGAGTCTAGATCTCCTTAGTTACACATGAAGTTTGCAACTTTACGTGAGGAATAGGCTTTAGAATAGTGGATCTACGGTTTGGAGACCCTGCATGACTCAAAAAGCCTCTGAATGTATGAAGGACTGAATAGACTCGGCGAGTCCCTTTAGTGGACTTGACGAGTAGTATGAAAATGGAGATGAACTCGACGAGTTGGATGAACAACTCGACGAGTATGTTGAAGATTTTCGTGGACTCGGGGAGTTTGTTCTTGGACTCGGCAAGTCAGGTCGCGAAACCCCAAACCCTTCTAGTTAAGACTCGGATCAGTGAGTTGAGTGGAGACTCAGTGAGTTGGACAGGACAGAACTCGGAAATTTGTAGACTCGGCGAGTCATGGGTTGACTTGGCGAGTCGAGTCGCGAATGAAAGGGTTTCTGAGCTTATGAACTCGGCGAGTCGGTAGGTTGACTCAGCGAGTCAGGTAAACTGGAAAGTTGACCTTGACCAGGACTTTGACCGAAGTTGACTTAGTTAACCTCTGGACAACAGTTTAGGCTAAGTTCTATTATTTGATATTGGTAGCTCGGAGAGCTAGAGGAGCAGCGCTTCAGAGGGTTGTCGGTTAGCAGCCAGAGGGTTATCAGTAGAGTTCAGCAGTCCAGCTGAGTTACCTTCCAGTAGCGGTGGGTATAAGGCCACAATGTCGGCCCACGAGTAGAAGTCTAGGAGTCGTATGTTAGATGATTGTCTTTGTGATATCATCTAGGTTTGCTACTACCTGATATGTTATATGCCGGCATGATATGTTATATGTGATAGTAGTAGAGTTCGGTTGTTAGGACCGAAGAGTAGGTCAGGCACCCCAGATATGCCTGACAATATGTGATTATATGTTTATAGGCTGACATGATATGTTATATGTGATAGTGGTAGTAGGAGGGGGAATAGTCCCCAAGTTCGGTTGTTAGGACCGAAGGGTAGTTCGGACACCCTAGATATGTCTGATAATATGATATGTTATATGTGATAGTGGTAGTAGGATGGGGAATAGTCCCCAAGTTCGGTTGTTAGGACCGAAGGGTAGTTTGGACACCCCAGATATGTCTGATAATATGTTATGTTATGATATGTGATAGTAACAGTAGGGGGTGGAATAGTCCCCGAGGTTCGGTTGTTAGGACTGAAGGGTAGTCAGCACCCTAGAATGGCTCGACATGAGTAGGTCAGCACCCCATAATGGCTTGACACGGGTAGGTCTGCACCCCAGAATGGACGTACAGGTAGGTCGGCACCCCAGAATGGTCGTACCAGGTAGGTTGGGCACCCCAGAATTGCCCGACAGTATGTATGTTATGTGATTGTATTGTATATGGTACGATGGGGGAACTCACTAAGCTTCGTGCTTACATTTTACAGTTTTGGTTTCAGGTACCTCTTCATCGAAGGGGAAGGAGCTGGCGCGGTAGCGGCACATCATACACACACTCATTGTTTTCCGCACTATGAGTTATTTTGGGATTTGTACTCTGACATTACTATGGTTTTATAATTCGGTTTTCAGACACGAGATATGTTTTTATGAAATGATATTTCAGTTGATGTTTTATTACAAATGTTTCGCAAATCACTTATTTTAAAAATAAAATTTTTGGACGTGAAAATTGGGTCGTTACAAGTTGGTATCAGAGCCCTGGTTTGAGGGATTCGGACACACCTTCGGGGGTGTCTGGACTCAAAT